CAACAGAATGATTGAGCCCAAAGCGTCAATCTGTGGTGCTGAGGTGGAGAAACCCCTCTCTAGACCAGGGTCTAGTCTCTGTGCTCCCCTCCCCCATTTGTGCTCCCGGAGCCCGACTCTGGGACAGGTGACCACCAGACTGATGGAAGATCAGGTCCCCTCCACCATCTGTGGAGACCGTCTGCCTACCAAGGCATCGCTTGACTGTACGGGGTCTGTGGGAAGTCAGCACCTCACGCAGGCACTGCTTTAGCCTGCCCACCCCCTCAGCTCCCCAAGTCTGCTCTGCTGAGTCACCTGGACCAGGAGGCAGCGAGCGTGCTCTCATGAACACACTGGTGCCTTTGCTGTCATGACGACGGCAGGCTGCATCCGTAATGCTCCATGGGCACTGAGCTCCCTTTTTGGCAGAAGACACCAATGAGAAAGGACATGCATGTGGCAAAAGCGAAGATGGGAGCTCAGCCACACATTCTAGGTAGTGTGGGAGCATGGAGGGGCTTCTAAGGAAAAGGGTTAATGGTCCTGGTTGAGCCTGAGCAGGAATGGAACGGTTAGCAGCTGAGTCCCTACCCCAGGCTCCAGCCCATTGCTTGTGACGCTTCCCACCTCCCATCACCATTAGGTGCCCTCTGGCCCTGCTCTTGGGGTTCGTGAAAAGCCTGGGAACCAACCATGCACATGGCTGGCAGGCAGACATAGATTTGGCTCTGGGGCCCCAAGGAGGGAGGGCAGTCCCAGAAAGGGCAGGGACTGGGGGCTGGGAGTCCGGGTGCGGGAGAGCGCGTTCTCTGCCTTTTAAGCAAAGGTTATCACCAGGCGGGCTAAACTTAGCACAGGCTCTTCAGCTAGAAAAGGGGGCTGATCTCAGGTTACGCTGGGCCAGCAAAGAGGCCCCTGGATCCCCAGCCCCCCGCACCTGCTGATGGGCCATGTCCATTCCACCCCACCCCCTTCTAAACCCTCGTTCTCGGCTCAAGCGTTCTGAACGGAGCCCTTCCATCCTCAGCGGGCAAAACCTGCGCAGCTGGGGCTCCGGACTGTTGGAGGAGAAAGGATCCCTCCTTCTACCTCGCGTGGGGCTGGGGGCCGGTTCCCACTACGTGCCCAAGACCTCCTAATTCTTTCCCTCTTCTGGACTCCTCACCCTGCCCCCAACATCCCCGGGGCGCGCAGGCAAGGAAGGGGAGTCCCTGGCTCTGGGGCTGGCCGGCACGTCCCAGGATGGGGAGGGACTTCCGCCCTCACGTCCCGCTCTCTGGCCGGGGTGGGGACGGTGAAAGGGGCACTGTCTCCCGGCCTGGGCGGCACAGCACTCAGGTCTCCCATCAGCGACTCTGTGGGAGGCCTCCGGCCTTGCGTCCTCCCCCTGCGGCCAAGCCCCGCCTGGGGGAGAGCAGCTGGTGCAGCTGGTGCACACAGGGCCTGGTTTGTCCGCCCCAATTATCAGCTCTCCGGGCTGCCCGAGCTTGCAGGACAGCGTGACCTTCAGTGCAGAAACCTCCCCCCACCCCCCAGCCACCTCCCGAGCCTCCTTCCTCTCCAGGCCCCCACTGCCCAGTGCCAGCCCAGGCCCCCGGCCCAGGGAGGCCAGGAGCCAGGGCCTGGAGAGGGGGAAGTGGGGGCTGGGCAGAGCCCGGCAGGAGGCGGGCGGACCCCTCCCGGGCCTTTTCCTCTGCAGTTCCTCCGCCACTACCAAAGTGCCTTGAGGAGAAGTTCCTCAGCCTTCCCGCCTCTCGGCCTCTGAAAGAAAGGGGATGGGGGTGGACGCGTGCAACCGCGAGGGGTCCCGGCTCCGGCTCCAATTCCCCCTCCCACCAGCTCCCAAAGTCCTCCCGTTTCATCTGTGCAGCAATTTTAATGGCCCTGGCTCCCGGAGGCTTTCCGTTGTCACCAGGAGCCCGGTCCTGGGGTCCACAGTCCCTGCATGGCCACAGGATGCCCACGAGTGCCGTTAGCGATCACCTCCTCCCCTGGGCTGGTCTCAGTCCCCTCCCCCACTCCGTCCCTAGCCCACACGCTCGGTGCGTGCACACGGGAAGCAGCAGGCGGGTCAAAAAAAAAATCGGGCCCGGCTACTCGCGGCTTTACGGGCGCACGTAGCTCAGGGCCTCCGCGCCCTTGGGCCCCGACTGGGCGAGCCGGCGGGAGGCGGGGCCCGCGCCCCCCCCCCCCCCCCCCCCGCCCCGGCGCTATAAATTGAGACTGCAGCCTCCGCTGGCGCTCTCTGCTCCTCCCCGTTCGACAGGTAGCCGCATCTTCTGGTACAGTGCCAGGTAAAGCCCAGCCAAACCAGACGGAGGGGAGCCGCGAGAGGCCCGGGCACGGCTCCGAAGGGGGCCCGGGGTGCTCGCGGACCCGGGTTGGGCTGCGTGGCCGCGGGTCGGGCGTGCCCGGCCGGACCTCCGCATTGCAGGGGTGGGAGGACGGACGTGCCCGAGCGCGGGGTGGGAATGGAGGCCTGGGGGGAGGGGAGGGCAGCGGCCGCACTGCAGCCGCCGCCCGCCCCCGCGCTCTAATGCTCGCCTTCCTCTCTCCGCAGCCGCGTCCCCGAGACACGATGGTGAAGGTCGGAGTGAACGGGTGAGTTCGGGGCTGGGGTGGGGCATCGAACCCTGCGGCCCGGGCGAGCGCGTGGGTGGGGGACGCGAGTGCGGTGGTCCTACCCCCCCCCCCGCAAGGAGAACTCAAGGTCGGCGCTCTGACCTGACGGAGGCCCCCGCCGCAGAGGGCCTCGTGGCCCCCACCCCATCCCCGGCTGTGGCGCCTCCTGCAACGCCGCTCCTGCGGGTTCGAGGCGCCCGCAGCCTTCCCCTCCCACCTGCCTGCGATCCGCGGGAGCGCCGCCTTCCCGGCTTAGGAGCCATCCCCTTAATCCCCCGGCCGGGGCTTCTTTCTTTGCTTTCGCGCCCTGCGGGGTCACGTGCCGGGGAGGCGCCCC